GCATCATGTATTTCTAAGGTTTCAATGTGTCAGTGACATCAGAGACTTACCTTTAATCCAGATCTGCGCTATGCCATAAGGTCGCCAATAGTCACATGCAGTTACTAAGCACTTGAAATGAAATTAGTCTGAATTAAGATGTGCTTTAAATTAAAAACCTCACTGGAGGGCCTCCCCGGTGGCGCAGCGGTTGAGTGCTGGGTTGTGAAGCTGCCCGCAGCCTCTGCAGCGCCGGTTCGATCCCCGGCTGCTCCCCGGCCACTGGAGGAGGGTCCCACATGGCGAGCAGACCTCTCCTGCCGCCCGCTGCTCCCCTCAGCAGTGTACTTCGGTCCTTCTGCCTGCTCTGCTCCCCGCTCTGGCTCTGGTGAATTCTCTCACCCTCCCGCACTTCTGACTGTACCCAGTGCTTGTATAAATAAATAAATAAATCTTAAAAAAAGAAAAAAAAAAAAAGTGAAACTAAAAGAATGGTGGAACTTCAGGTAAATGTTAAAAAAAAAAAAAAAAAAACCTCACTGGAATTTGAAGTCGTTTGAAAAAAGGAATGTAAAATATCTCCTTAAAAATTATTTTGGTAAAATGTTGAAAAGGTATTAGAATATTTTAGGTTATAGACTATATATTAAAATTAATTTGACCTCTTCTAATTTTTTTTTTTTTTTTTTTTTTTTAATAGAGGCATGCTTTATTTATTTGTTTTGCTGGTTTGTTTGTTTGTTTTGTTTATACATGCACTGGGTACAGTCAGAAGCGCGGGAGGGGGAGAGAATTCACCAGAGCCAGAGCGGGGAGCAGAGCAGGCAGAAGGACCGAAGTACACTGCTGAGGGGAGCAGCGGGCGGCAGGAGAGGTCTGCACGCCATGTGGGACCCTCCTCCGGTGGCCGGGGAGCAGCCGGGGATCGAACCGGCACCACAGAGGCCGCGGGCAGCTTCGCAACCCAGCGCTCAACCGCTGCGCCACCGGGGAGGCCCACCTCTTCTAATTTTTTAATGTGGCTCTTAGAAAAAATTAAAATGTAGCTGACATTATATTTCTACTGGGCAGTGAAGTTCTACACCTCTCTTTTCTGTTATCCAGATCTGATTATCCAACTGCTTTGTTGACATTTCCTCTTGGATATTCAAAACCTCAAAAACAATGCTTCAAGCAATTGAAGTGCCCAATGACACAGCAGTGGATGAAAAGGTATGACATATATACACAAAGAAATATTATGCAGGTATTTAAGAAAAAAAAAATGAACTTTTGCCATTGGTGACAACATGAATAGATCTGGAGGGGATTATGCTGAGGAAAGTAAATCAGAAAGTGAAAGACAAGTACCAGAGAGTTTCACCCCCATGTGGAGTATAGATAGAGAAACAAAACAAAAACAAAAGGTCAGATAAAACCAACCAAAACAGCCTCTATAAATCTGACTGTGAAACTGAGGCTACCAGACAGGGAGGCGTCCCATGCACTACAGTGAAGGATTATGGTGCGTTGGTAGCGAGACGCATCTGAGGAGGGGGACCTATACCTCTACAGTGTTGTAAGCCGATGTTACCTTAAAAAAATTCTTCAAAATTTAACTCAAAACCTTCTCCCTCCAAACTGCTATAATAGCCTTTTACATAGCCCCCTGCATCATCTGCTCTTATCCCTCAAATTCATTGTGGCCATAACTTGATGCATAAATTTATGGACAAAAGAGTGAAGAGTTGCTGAACGATGTCTGGTCATAATGAGATGATATTATGTGTTTTTTAAAACAAATGTACCAGATACAAATATCCAAATAAGAGTCTATCTTTTAAATCAAAATTTTCAGAAAGAAATATATCTACTCCAACAAACTAAATATATTTGTAGCTATTTCAATAAAATATTAATATATTGCTATTTGGGACAATCCTGGTATTAATTTACAAGCCACATGAGGAAAAAGACATTTATTGTTCCTTATGTTGGATTACATAGACTATTTTATCCTATATCTTATTCATCAAATTGAGTTTGAATGATTTCAGATACAATATCACAGAGTGTGTTCTAAAGCAGCAATGTCCAATTAAACTTTCTGCCATAATGGAAATGTTTTATGTCTTCATTGTCCAATTGGATAGCCACCAGCTACATAAGACTATTGAGCACTTGAAATGGGCCTAGTACAGCTCAGGGACAAAATTTTTAATTTTATTTCACTTTAATTAGCTTAAGGTTAAAGAGGTGCTTTTAGCTAGTGGTTATTAAATTGAACAGCATAACTTAAAGAGATCATCAAAGGCAAATTCCTAAAACATTTTTGCCCTCACTATATAATCTCACTAAAATTAGTGTATATCCCCAACAAATGCTAGTTTGCATATATAAAATGATCTTTTGTAAAATAAATATATGATATTGCCGTAAAGAATCACTTCAGATGCCAATGTCTGTGATCTAAATACGAACGCCACTTATTTCAAAAATGCCAGACCTAGTTCCATTTTGCCAGGCCAAAATAACAACACAAAATTACAAAAGACTTGAGGACAATTCCTGCCAGTCAGGGAAGGTCACCCATGACCACAAGTATTCATGGGAACACAAGAGCCCAAGGCTGTCATGGATTTGCTTCCTAGGAAGTCCCCTTCTCCAATGATGCAATAATAAACATGGAAAAAGTTCAAATCAAGAAGGCAATCATGTACTTTTGGAGCTGGTAAACAAATGGCAGAACTGAGATATAATGAGACTTCAACTCTGAGTGAAGTTTTGCCAAGAGAGTAGACATCACTCAACATAAAAGGCAAGATACCATTGACAATGATAGCATCGGCCTTTCATGCAGACAAAGGGGCTGCTGTGTACAACTCCACTGGACTGAATTTGTATGGCAAAATAATGCCAATGTAACATCCAGGCCTCTGCTACATAGCAAGAGATTTAGATGAGTGGCAAATGTTTCAGAGGTCTTGGCATATCCAGTTGTCTTTCCAGTTCAGTATCATCAAATACAAGAGGATTTATTTCTGCACATATATTCCAAGACCTCCATGGTGAAGGTCCTAGATATATCACTATCCAAATGTACACATGTGCTCATTAGCATATTGATAGATTTGTCTTCATAGATTTACTATAATTTCAAGGAAAGTTTAAAATGACGTATTACAATATAAATTTAAAAATATACTAGATGCTTTTTAATTAGCAAATTAAATAAAATAATGACCATAGTACACGTTATATGTGAGATAATTATCTTTGTGTTTTACTTTGATGAACTAGAAAGGAAGCAGAAATAAATCACAATAGAGGTAATGACCCTAATTATTTTTAATGACATTAACTAGTTCTTCAAATGCAAAAATTTCACAAGAAATCTGTGATTCATTTCAAATTGTTATATCTGACACAAGTTTGTGTTTCCTGGTGGCTTTTGCAACAATGTTATCTGGGATATTGTTCTATAGTTTTCATTTTTGTAGTGTGATTGTCTGCTTGTAGTATCAGAGTAATGTAGGCCCCGTAAGGCATGTTTGAAATCATTCCATCTTCCTCAAATTTTTTTTTTAAGTTTGAGAAGAATAAGTATTGTTTCATCTTTGAAGGTTTGGTTGAACTCACTAGTGAAACAATCTTGCCCTGGGTTTTTGTTTTTTGGATACTTGATTACTGTTTCAATGTCCTTGCTTATAATTGGTCTATTTTCCCTCTTATACTATTGATGGGATTGTAGATTGGTCCAGTCCCTATGGAAAATAGTAGAGAGGTTTCTCAAAATATTGAAACTAGATCTACCATAGGATCCAACAATTAATTCCACTCATAGGTATTTACCCAAAGAATACAAAACACTATTTACAATAGTTATGTTATGGAAACAACCTAAGTGTGCAGTGACAGATGCTAGATTAAGAAGGTGTGGTCTATATGCACAATGGAATACCAATCAGCTACCAAAGAAAGATGAAGTCTTGCCATTTTGGACAACATGAATAGAGCTAGAGCAGATAATGTAAATGAAATAAGGCAGAAGAAGAAAGACAATACTAGATGGTTTCACTCATACTGGGACGAATACTATATTTACCACATCCAGAGAATGGATGTGTGTGTGTGTGTGTGTGTGTGTGTGTGTGTGTGTGAAAGAGAGAGAGACAGATTCAAAACAAAACCTAGAATTTGACTACAGAATTGAAGCCACCAAAGGTAAAGAGTGAAAGTGGAGAGGAGACCTGGTGACAGTGGTGGAGGATTATGAGTCTTGGTGGTGGGTGTGATGTGGTTACAGACATCTGAAGAGGTGCGAGCCTGTGTCTCTGAATCACACACAGTGTTGTAATCAATTACCTCAATTAAAACAAAATACAAGTAGGGCCTCCCTGGTGGGGGTTAAGCACCGCACTGTGAGGCAATCCAAAGCCTCTGCAGCATGAGTTAGATCCTTGGCCGGCCAGGGAGCAACCCACATGGTGCAGCAGACCTCTTCTGCCTCACCCGCTGCTCTCCTCAGCAGTGTATTTCAGTCAGTCTGCCTGTTCTGTTCCCCATTCTTGTCTCTGGTGAGTCCTTTCACCCCCTGCATCTCTGGCCTGTACCCCACTTCTTGTATGCACAAATAAATCTTTTTTAAAAATACAAATAAATTCTAAATCTTCAAAAAAAAAAAAAGGTGAGCTAGTTCTAGATTATAGAATGTCACCACAGTATAGCACAGAGCTGGATGTAGTAAATAAAGAATTTATCTCTGTTGGGGTATTAATTTAAATAATTTGCTGATTATTATTTAATTCAGCAAATTAATCATGAAAGGAATTATCTTCCCACCAACTACTGATTCAAGGCATTCCTTCCTCCAGAATGAGCATTCATTTCCATTTTCACACCCTAATCCAATGGATTTTGACTTGCACCTGGATTGTCAGAAGCTTTATTCGCTTTTCTCCCACTCAGACCAGGTCCCCTCATGAAAACAAATGCACACACAGGCACACAATGTATGTACACACATGTAAATCTTGAGTTACCTTAAGATTTTCTGGCAATGGTTTGTTCTGGGTCAGCCCCACAGTAATCAAAGCAATCACAGCCATGATAAAAGTGAAGCCAAGGATGATCAGTATATTTCTGGAGCAAAATCTCTTCAGTCCAGATTCTAAAACCAAAAGCAGAATAGAAAATAGATTTAAAAAGCCACAAACATTGATTCTCCCCCACTTTTTGTTTGTTTTCTGTTTTTTGGGTTTTTTGCTGGCTATTTGGAAACATCAAAGATTGAAAAAAAAGCTCAACTTTATCCATGAGGCACTTTGCAAAGTAATTGAGAAATAATTCAAAACCAAAGAATTTGTTTGTACTGTGATGAGGGCCAAGAATGAGTTAGTGTCTGTGACGTTGAGAATGGGCAGAACTAGGTAAGAGACCACATGTGGCATGGAGAGAGGAAAGAATCCCTAACAGGCAATTTGTTTAATACATCATGTAGCTCTAGTAGAGTGCAAATAACAAATAACGAAAAGCAAGGATAGAGTTTTTAGAATACATCATCAAACATCAAAGTCCTACTACCCTTGCCATTCCCAGGCTTGACACACCCGTTGCATTTCAGCCACACTTACATGGAATTCTTTGGTAATAGCAAAAAGCATGTGAGGTCTTGAACATTTCAAGTCATTATTCACATTATCTTATCTATTTTGTTCTTACTTTCACCCAGTCAGGGACATAAAAGTGTTCCCAGAGGAAATTCTATAAAAGGTAAAAGGTTACCTTGGTTAGAATAGAGTATATAATAGAGGTGAATAGGAAATGAAACGGCTGCCCCATTCCCTCTATTCTGACAATCCACTTTCTATAAAACATTCTCCATGAACTCACAAAACTAATATCAAACTATCCCCAAATTTGGTCAGCAGCAGCCACTGCACACTGAAATGGGAGCTTGTCCTCAAGCTCTTGAGCGGAAGCTTACACTAAACCCAAAGGATTACACCTATGTGTGGGTCTCCAGTCTTTGTCAGCCTATACAATCATGAACCAGTCTTCATACCTCAGAGCTAACAGTACAAAATGTAGGAGAAAAAACTATGGCAACACCATTATCTATTGCATCTAAATAAAAGAACAATGGACAAAATACACAGCTCTTCCCTCTGCTCCCTTCCAAACATAACCTTAATTTTGTTCAGAAGCCTCCCACACCCCCCAAAAGTCCCTACACTTCATGGAAAGGGGATACAACCTCCAGGACCCTGATTCAATCCTTTCATGAGATTTATGCTTCATGGAGTCAGGACTTTTATATCTTGAACCCAAAACATCTTGATATAACTGGTGTGGCAGAAATATTCTGTTTGATTCGAGGGCCCTAGGATCTGGAAAAGAACCCCCTAGATACTACCCATGCAGTTCTCAAAGTTGAGATGTCAACAAACACAGCTCAAAGTAAGCATGTGCTTTATTTTTTTTTAAAGATTTATTTCTGCATATAAGAACTGGGGTACAGGCCAGAGGTGTGGGAGTGAGAGGAATCACCAGAGACAGAGCAGGGAGCAGAACAGGCAGATCTACTGAAATACACTGCTGAGGGGAGCAGAAGTCGAGACAGGAGAGGTCTGCTGTGCCAGGTGGGTAGCTCCCTGGCTGGGGTTTGAACTTGTGCTGTAGAGGCTGCGGATAATTTCACAGTGCTGTGCTTAACCCCTTGCGTCACCAGGGAGGCCCCTAAGCATGTGCTTTAGATGAACCATTACAAATCTACTCCTAAAGGGCACGGAGCCTTGCAGCAATGTTTCTACTGTAACGGGATGATGAATGCTTGTTTACAAAGGAGTTATTCAAAAAGGTTGCTACATTTGTTTTCATAAATATGACAATTTTGCTATCTCATTTTCCTTCCGCATCTAGTCAGGCACTATCTTAGTTTCAAATGAGAAAGACCGAGAAGCTCCCTGCTCTTTGGAAGTCATAATCTAATTGGGGAGATAGACAAACCAGAAAAATAGTACATAAATAAGTGACCTCAGGTTATGACACCTGCTAAGGAGAAATTAAAACCAAGGAATGTTATTGAGTGATTTGCTACAGAGCTGGCGTAGGGGCGGGGGATTAGACTGAGGATCAGGAAAATCTCTATGAGAAGGAAGCACTTGAGCAGAGACCTGAACACAGAGAAAAAACCAACTCCAAGAAGGAGTAAGAACATTCCAGGAAGGGCCTCCACTGGTGGCACAGCGGTTGCGCGCTGGGCTGCGAAGCTGCCCGCAGCCTCTGCAGCACTGGTTCAATGCCCAGCCGCCCGCGAGGGTCCCACGTGGCACACAGAACTCTCCTGTCGCGCCCGCTGCTCCCCTCAGCGGTGTGTTTCATCAGTCTGCCTGCTCTGTTCCTCACTCTGGCTCTGGTGAATCCTCTCACCCTCCCGCACATCTGGCCTGTACCCCGGTTCTTGTATAAATAAATAAATAAATAAATCTTTAAAAAAAAAAAAAAATTCCAGGAGGAGGGAACAGCAACCGGGAAAGCCCTGAGGTAGGAAACAACGTGATGTGACTCCAAATAAGAAAATTTAGTCATTATTAGCAACCTCCTTCCTCTCCAGGAGAGGGTTCTTCTTTCTCAGTTGCTTCATATTCAGGACCCACCCTCTTCTGTGGTAATATCCATCTCCAACCCCTTTCCAGTCACCACCACTTCCTCTACAACAGCCCTTTTTGGTATCAACCTCCCTTTCTAATTCTCTTCCCTATCAGAAGCCATCCCTCATGTGGCTGCAGAAATCCTCCATTATTGACCTCCTCAGGACTCTTCCTGATCAAGAATCAAAGGTAGCTTCCTGCTGATTGCCAGATGAGCAACACTGGTCTACCTATACCTTCCAACCCTCAAAAATTTAAGCCCTTCCCATTGCTCCATTCCAGCAAATATAGATTTGTGTCTACAAGATCTTAATGCCTGACATTATGACCACTAGAATGTAAGTTCCCTGAGTCCAGGGTATGTTTTCCTGGCTTGTTCACTGCTATTATTCCCAGTGAAATAAAAATGAATTCTAGGTGGACTTTTTCAATGTGAGATTTCCTTCTTTTAGAATTCTCCTCTTTTTCCACCAAGTCCTCTCCCTTAGCTCATCAAACTCAAGCTCAATAGGAGGCGATGTTCCCCTCATATGCTTCATCACTCAGTTTTTCTGGTAGTCCTCTCTTCACATGTTACCTCTACTTAATGGTCAAACTATTTCAGTTTGGGAGTTCTATCACTGTTACTGGGGAGGAGCAATAAGCTATGCTTCACTCATACTTTTAGTTAGTCATTCAGCATGCACTAGACCTGGACTAGGCTTTGAACTAGATCAATACCATCCACCGTCATAGTGTTTATGTTCTAGTTTGGAGTAAAAGACAAAAATAAGAAAATTAAAATGTATAATCTGTTACATAATTATAAGTGCTAAGGAGAAGGAAAAAGAAAGGAAGAGGAAGGATAAGACTATCAAGAAAGGTTTCTCTGTTGTGGTGATATTGAGTAAGAGTCAAGGAGATAAGGAGAAAGCATGCATATCTCTTAGGTAAGAAAACTTTAAGCAACTGGAACTGCATAAGCAAAGGCCCTGAGATGGCACAATGTCAGGCCAGGAGACCAGTGTGGCTACAAAAGTGATAGGGAAGAGGATGGGCAGGGAAGGAAGTATCTGAGCACCTTGTTTACAGGGCCTTGCAAGTTCCAGTAAGGCTTTACCTTACTCTAAAGGATCAACTCTAGTCTTCTGCATAATTTATACTATCATAGGGGTGAACAAGGAGCCATTAGGGGCCTTTGAAGCCCCTCAAGAGGCATGGCCTTTCAAAGAGCAGATCCCTGCCTCTTGCCATGAGATATGGAGGCTGCTCCCAGTCAAGTCAGGTCATAAGACAGCACACAGCCACATGTGGACAGAGCCTGGCTCTGTTGGAATGGAGCTTTTGCCAAGACCAGAATACAAAGACGCACGCAAAAGGAGTAAATACCATTACATGATAGGTTTTCTCTGTACCTTCAGGTCCTCCTGATGAGTCAGGAATGAATAAACTTTGCTGTGAGATCATTATCAGGAGGGTCACCAAACCAGCAGTCACTAGGATCCATCAGAAAACCAAGCTCTATAAACTTGTGAGAGGCAACTGTAGTTAGAATCATACAAGTTCATCTTTGCTCCATTTTCTAAGCCTCCACTTTCTCATGAGCAAAATGTGAGTTATAATAGTACATATCTCATGGGTTGCTTGGTAAGATTCAATGAGCTAACAATACATAACAGCTACATTTAAAGAACCCACACTGTATTCCAGATTCTACTCTTAGCACTTTAAATAAAGCAACTAATTTAGTCCTCACCTCCAATCACATGAAGTAGATGTACTGTATTACTGTCTGCATCAATTGTCCACAACAAATTATCACAAACTTGGTAACTTAACAAAAGAAATTTATACTTTCACAATTCTGGAGGCTAAAAATCCAGAATTAAGGTGTCTGGACTGGAGTGTTGTCTGGATTGTTGTCAATGATGATACCAGACAATGTTGTACATTTTAAAATGCTAGTTTGGAGGAATCTTTGATCCCTGAAAGTCAAAAGTTTGCAGCAAAGTGACAAGAGACTGATTTAGTCATACATCTTACAAGTGGTAGAACAGAGATATGATCCAAGTTTTTCCAATACCACTTCACTGCCTCAATCATTGCCCTGCATTGGAGATGTATAGAAATCACTCAGCTTGTTCCTTCTCAGAAGACCAAATATGGGGCCTCCCTGGTGGCGCAAGGGGTTGAGCACTGCACTATGGAGAAGTCCGCGGCCTCTGCAGCATGAGTTCAATCCCTGGCCAGCCAGGGAGCAGCCCGCATGGCGCAGCAGACCTCTCCTGATACCTCCGCTGCTCCCCTCAACAGTGTACTTCGGTCAGTCTGCCTGTTCTGTTCCCCACTCTGTCTCTGGTGAGTCCTCTCACCCATTGAATCTCTGGCCTGTGCCCCAGCTCTTGTAGGCACAAATAAATAAAATCTTAAAAAAAAAATTAAAAAAAAAGGCCCAATATGAAGGAACTCATCCAAAGTTTTGTTCAAATGGAAAGAATCTTATTCTATTTCACACATACCTCATATTAATTACTTCCAAGTAGTAAATCCAGAATCAAGTTTGAGGATAAAGCAGTTTAATTTGGTGGTATTTTTTGCTTTAAGTCAAAGAAATCAGTACAATGTCAATAAAGACACAAATGCTAAAAATGAGAACTGCAAGACCTCAATGATGACCAGCTAAATAAAGGGCAAAGGCAAAGGAGAGGTGGGTAACACATGATGAACGCAGGCTTGGGAGACAGAGGCAAGAAGACAGAGTCAGGCAAGAAGAGGCAAAGGGAGAGGTGGGCTGGGAATACAGAGACATGGGTAATTAAGTAAATAACCCACATTCTGTTCCAGTGAGCTCTTGAAGGTCAGACTTCAGAGCAAGTTGCTTGTTTTTATTTACAACCTTTTATTTCTGCTCTTTGAAATGTTAACTAGTGGTTATTTCAGCTCACAGTTCTTCAGTTAGAAAAGGAATGCATTTATCTTAACAAAGTAGCTTAGCTAATCCTAAGTAGATCCCTCAGAGGCTCAGCTTTGGGTGGGAAGACCCCCTCTGGTGACACCCAGGCAGTGGAAAAGAGGTTGGGGTTGCAGAAAAAGTTCTTCCTGCAAATCAGATCTTGCCAATCCCATGCACCCACCCCACAATTATTGTGGTCATGCTGTTCTCAGATTAGCAGCATGTGACTGACTGACTTTGCACTTTGTGTGCCTGAGTCTAAAAATGTTAACCACAAAATTCAAATGCCAGCAGACACTTCATATGTGGGAAATAAGGAAGCAAAGGAGGCTACCCCATTTTCCTTCTCACTTCTTCCTACCATACCATTTACCTCCTCACTCAGACCCCTCTGGCCTCTCCTGAATTCTTTTGCCCCTAAATTGCATGGAGTACAATAGGTCTTTGTGGTCATCATGGAATCCCGTACTCAAATATAGGGCTGGCTAGAAGGAGGGCTGTTTCCAGCAAAATGATATCACTGAGACCACAGAACAGGAATTCCCTGTGTCCCAGCCAACAAGCGTAACAATCTCGTGTATTGATGGTCTGCAATAAGAACACTGCTTCCGCAAAAGGAATCCTCTCACACGTCTGAATTGAAGAAGTATGCCCTGGGGACTCCATCCTTTCTCAAAGCAGCTGCCTTTGTCAACAAGTCTTAGTTATTTGTTCTGGTAAGAAAGACTGAGAAAATCTGCACTGGCCATATATCAACAATGTGGGGTCATACTGAGCTTGGAGTGGACTAGCTCAGTCAGGTTTCCTAAACTTACAGTTCTGTAGTCTATACCTTACATCCATAAATTCTCTCATTTCTGCCTCCTCATTTTGTACCTAATATCCTATGTCCATTCTGCCAGCCTGCCAGTCCCTCACCAACCTGATTAGTCCAAGCAGAAGTCTCTGGGTCCCCACTCATTCCTTCTTCCCAGATCAATCTCATCTCTTCTGCTCTCTTTGGGGAAGAATCATCGGATTTCACTTGGTCAGGCTGTGGGTAGATTGAAAACTTTATTTTGAAGGAAAGTTGGTACGTCTGCTGAACTGTCTTAAATTATTAGTATCTGTTCCTGGTAGGGTGCAACAAATAAAAGTGGTATTTGGGAAGGACACTATAAAAGTCCCCTGGATTTCTTTAAAGCCTATTTTCTGTACTCTTTTAGTGAAGAGGTTAAGGGTTTCAAGAAAATTTCCTGACCTTGGAGGAAGGAGTATCCTAGATCAAAACTAGTAAGACTAATACAATAGAAAAAAATGTGTGTTCAGTCTGATTATTTCCTCAAATACAGAACGCGACTAAAAAAATGGTGTCCTGGTCAATTCTGTAAGCTGAATGAAGAATGTGTGAATATGAGGTGGGTTACCAGCACAGATAGAAAAGGCAACTAAAAGTAATGTGCAGTGTGTCACTGTGCGTTCTGGGGGAAGAAGGTATCTTGTCCTGTGGACTCTGGTAGCTCATCTCTCTGAAGGGACTTTATAGTGATAAAGGATCTCCCCACTAAGATAACCAATATGTCCCCACCCCACTATGATTTCATGTTCACAAGCTACCTTGCCATGATTTTTCTGCAAGGTAAAAAATGAGCTGATGATTATTAAACAATAAAAGGATATTAATCCTTATATTGCACATTTGGTTTCACGGGATTCTCCTCTTTTTATTCCATGAGGTAAAATCAATTGTCTTTTCCTATAAGACATAGGCTGCCTGTAGAATACAGAGCAACGTGGAACAGGCCTCAGGAGGGAGCCACACGTACAGCACAATCTGTGCACTTATGCTCACATCCAGCTGGTCTACATTCTTACTAGCTCCAACTCACAGAGGCAGGAAGGGCGCAGTCAGGCCAGGAAGCAGACTGGAGGGATCGGAGTAAACAAGAAAGATGCTATATGCTTTTTCTTCTTCAGAATTACAATAATGTTCTGCGTGGAGGGCAGTGTCTGCCCCAGGAAAAACTTGGATACCGCACAAAAGCAAGTATATGGAAATGATGACTAAATTAATTGAGACTCTTCACAGAAATTCCTACAAACCCGAGCACTCTGGGGAGCACATGAGTTGAAGAGGAAACTTTTACTCCATCCTCTGGGAAAGCATCAGTACCTGGAACTGACCTCTGAGAATGCTATTTTATTCCATCTTCAGGAAGCAGGTAGTTAACACTGGATAATAGAGACACTACAGGGTCCTCCAGCTACACTCTCCACACGGGTAGGAAAAGGCCACATCCTCTCAGAGCTGTATATGGAGCTGGCATGTTTATTCCACTTCTCTTGCCTTCAGTTCTCCCCCTTCAATGTTCCCAGTGAGCAGATCCATACCCCACAAATTCTTATGATTTGACTTCCTCTAACACTTTTTTGCTCTTTGTACTATGTGCATTCCTAAAAGCCACCTTCCATATAGTCCACCCGCTGCTTGGTCTACCATACCTGGCTTCTGCCCCGCCATTTCATCAAGCCACTTCATAGATATCAAGTAGATGCATTTCAGTATTTACATGTCCTATAGAAGTTGATACTGCTATCTTTCTTATGACTCTCTCCTTTCTTGGTTCCTCTTAATAATCCTCCTACTTCTTGGACCCCTACTTTTCTCCTACTCTTTTTCTCTCTACCCTTTAAATTGGGGTGTTCCACAGAGCTCCAGCTTGCAAACTTGGCTCATCTCACTTCACATACATCCCCCAGCTGAATGCAATGACTCCCTTATCGCTACAGTGATGACTCCCTGATCTCTATGGGATGACTCCATGATCTATATCTTCAGTCTATGGTTTTCTCCTGAACCCCAAAACTACAGTTCTAGCCACTACCAAACATATCTGCTTTAGTCTTTCATATCCAAACACACCATGTCTAAAATTTAACTTTCCTTCCCACTCTGATTTTTTCTGCATAAACTGTTTTGTGAAGGTCACCACAGCCCTGAGTCTTCCTAGCCTTTCTTCTCCCACCAATCAAACTCCAAGTTTTGTTGATTCTATCTAATAAGTCTGTTAAATCCATTCATATAGCTCATTTCTTGCCTGGATTCACACATAATGACTTCTGAAGCAGCCTCTCCACATCTAGACTCTTCCCCCACAAATCCATCCTCTACTTTGAAGCTAGCATCATCCTGTGATGTAAACCTGATTATGCAACCCCACCCACGGGAACTTATTCCCATGGTTCTCAAAATAAAAGTTAAGCCCTTCAACAACAATTCTAAGGTCATGTCCTCACACAATCTAGGTATAGTTTAAGATGTTAGCCTCTAAATAGCTCCTTTTTCATATCCTCATCCCTGATATGATGTTCCCGCTTCCTCTGCCTGAAACACTTTTCTTTCTTCTCTTCTTCATCTACTTAACTCCACCTCATGAGGAAATGGAAGCTGAGAGTATTCAGTTTATATATCACTGCTTCCAGGGAGTCTTCCTGAAAGTCTCTTGTCCCTCTTCTACTGATGGACCAAGTACCCTCCTTTTCATCTGTTTGACAGCACCCCATACAATGCTATAATGGCTTTTAACCTTTGTCAGTTTCCTCTATGAGACTGTGCACCCTGAAAACAAAGAAAACACCCTGAAAACAAAGAATCTCCAGAAACCAGCAAATGGCCTGGCCTGTCAGTATTCTAGTATGTCAGTTGAATAAATGAATGGATACAGTTG